GTTTTAAGTTTTTACATTAACATATTTACAAATTTTTTTTCCCTTTGGTCTTTTTGAGACAGGGTCTCCCTGTAGCCCAAGCTATTCTGGAACTCACTATGTAGACCAGGCTGGCCTTGAACTTGCAGAGACCCTCTTGCCTTTGCCTCCCAAGTGCTGGGACTACAGGCATGCACCACCACACCCTGCTATTTATGGATTTTTAAAAAGGAATTATTTTTAGGTTTTTGACATTGTTTACATGACATCTTTATCTGGTAATATTAAAGAAATTATTTTGGATTTTGACATCTTTTATATGGTATTTTTGCAGGTTTCTAAAAATGACTATTTTAAATTCTTACTGTTTTACATAGTATATTTTTTAGTTTCTAAAGGAAAGTTAAAGATTTTCTAGCCATTTTCCTTCAAGGTGCAAGGGGAGCTGACACTTTGCGGTTTTTCTAGCCATTTGCCTTCAAGGTGCAAAGGGAGCTGACATTTTGTGACGACTACACCTGTGAAGCAGATGAAAGTTTGCTGTACTCCAGGGCCAAAACCTTACAAGAGACGAGCTACTACCAACACATAGTCACAACAAGGAGAGGTAAAAAGTAATAGTCTACTTGAATGAGAGGCTTGAGACGCCATCTCTACTGGTGTTAACTCCTCCCCTTTCTACATTGTGATTCTTGTTAAGGTTCCAAACAGCAGCAGTTTCCCCCCTCCCCAACAGGGACCTACAGACTTTGGAGCCTGAAAAAGGGAACTGAGCTGATAAGCACCTTGACCTTTGAAGTCAAGGGAAACAAACTCTGCTGAGAAGCAGCCTGCCTTTCCAAAGATAAGAAAAACAGATTCTACCTGTTATCACAACAGCTTTTCTCTTATCTTAAGAGGGAAAAAGTAAACACTTCCAGACCTTAAACCTGCCTGCTTTTCCTGCTTTCCCCACCCTGATTACTCCCCCAAATATTCCCCCCTTCCACACCCTAAAGCCCCCATATATAAAGTCCCAGCTCACAACCCCTGGGCTGACATCCTTCCCTTCCCTGACATCTTTCCCTTCCCTGACATCTTTCCCTTCCCTTCCCTGACATTTTTCCCTTCCCCAAGGGAAATGTGTCCCATGAGAAATAAAGCTGTATCCTGCTGAGAATTCTATCTGTGCCTCGGTGCCTCCTCCATCCATCTGCACCCTCTCTCCAACATTTTTACCCAACAATTCTAAGCCTATTTTTCTCTAAAATAGAGTTATTTCTCTCTCTGATACTCAGATGCTCTATGTTTGCTTATGTTCCTGCCCCATCATTCCCTGAGTGCTTTCTAGTTATAATGTCAGGGTAATATTAATTATATTGGTAAATTGTCACGTGCAGTTTGAGCTCACTGAGACGCAAACTCTGAAGATGGGATTGGCCTTCCCACTTCAGACTTATGCCTATTATCTCAAAATGTGTTCTCCAAGACTTTTCCAGGTTCAAGCTGGCCCCTTGACCCTGTGACAAGGATGAGAACAACAAAAAAGCCTAAGAGTAAAGGCACTATACAGTTGAAAACCACTAAGGTGTAAATTAATTTCAAGAGAGGGTATTACTGACTATAATAAAACTAGCTAATGGAATTATTTTCAGTACTATTTACATTTTATTTATTCTTAACCTAATCTCTTAATGTTTCCTTTTGTCCTTCCTATCTCCTCTGATTTATGCTCTTAGATTGACAAGGTTTTATTAACTTCCTTCAGTTATTTAGCTCTTAAAAAGGAAAAAGATGCTACCTCAAATCTATATGGAAATTTAACTCTTTCTTTAGACCACTAATTACCTATACAAAATGACATCTAAGCTGGTTGGGTAAAATCCTATTTGCTAAACACCATTTTTGTTTTTAGTTTAC